TGTTTTTATAAGCTAGCGGACCCAAGAACGCAACAGCAAACATCGCAGTGACCACGCGGGCCACTCAGTACTCGCCCTGTCGCCTTCTTCACTCGCTTCCTTCTCGCCACGACGACATCGTATTCGTCCCCGCCGTTGAATCCATTCTCACCTTCGTCTTCCCACTCGTTGCGAACGCCCTCACATACGTCGCCTTCCACGCCGTCTTCGCCGCCTTACTTTCCGCCCCCGCAGTCGATCCAGCCTTCTCCTTCCACGCCGTCTTCGGACTGCGTCAACGTCTTCCTGTGCGCCTTCGTCACCTTTTTTGCCATCATCGTGTTCGTCTTCAACACAGACGTCCCTTCGCCTTCCACGCCGTCTTCGGACTGCGCCAACGTCTTCCCGTGCGCCTTCGTCGCCTTTTTCGCCGTCATCATCTGCGTCTTCGACACCGACGTCCCTCACTCGAACCTTGTCGCCTTCGTCACCATCTGCGCTGTCACGCTGTCGAAGGACTTCGACGTCGTGCTCTATTCCCTCATCATCGCCACTCTTCTTGGCGGTGAAACAGGCCGTCACTCCAGCCACCATCCTTGCGTGTCGTGGAGGGTGTGTCGTGCGCCATGGCATCCCGAGGTTCTAGACGCGGGAGGTCTGCCGGGAAACAGGCGGTCGACACGTCTCTCCGGGATAAAAGGGGCCGCCACGTGGCGAACAAACAGAGAAAGCTCGTCCAAGGGGCCTCTGCGATACGTCGAAAGCGACTTCGCCGAATCGGAGGAAATCCCAATGAAGCGCAAGTCCTCCAGAAGGCAGACTGGAGCCCTCCGGATCGATGACGTCGGCGAGAGGCATAGCGCAGGTGGCCGCGGGGCAAATGAACAAGACGTCAATGTCGCCGCTCGTCTGGCGACGGGCCGAGCCGGGGGGAGTGCCGCCATGCAGCAGAACCGTGCGCCTTTGCCACGTGTCAGCGAACCCCCGGCCGCGCAAGAGGTATTCGTCCGCGGGCGAACGCCGTCAACCCCGCGACAAACGACGGCCACAAAAGTCGGCGTCGCCGCACAAGGCATTGGTCAGGGGATCGCCAGCCGATCTCCTGCGCATGACGAGCGCGGGGCATCGACGGCGGTTGCGGCGCGCGCTACAGAAATGGCAAAGGCAGGCGCCGCAACGGCGGGTGGTGCGTCCCAGGCTGCTGAAGGGGGGAGGTCAGTCGGGGCGGCAACTGTGGGGGCTTCACATGCGGTGGAAGGAGCCAGGGCAGGTGGGGGGAATGCTGGCGAAGGGAGCAGGGCAGGCGCCGTCGCTGGAGTCGGGGAGGACGATGAAGCCCTGGCGAACAGGGTGCGCCAGCGGAGCGCGCGTGAAGGGATCGACGTGGCGTCCAAACTGTGGGTGGACGACATTCATTTCTGGAACGGGACAGAGGGAAACGCCATTGTCAAGCTCATGTAGGAAGCGCGGCTGTATCTTGTGGCGGTGGCGCGGGGTGTGCAGCCTCCTGCGATTCGACGCAGCATCGTCCTGCCACACACCACCATCCCGCAGCACAAAATCGACAACGAATCGGAGTTCAGCGCTGCGCAAGACACAGCGATGAAGGTGCAGACCATCGCTCTGCGGGTGATCCACGGGTGGGTGTTCAAGTCCGCGAGCAGGCAACGGGGTTACCACGCGGCGTACGGGTATGCGCCGAACCATGCGGCGACTGACATCGCGCACGCGATCTGGATGGGGGAAGACTAGCGTGTGTGTGTGAGCCCCATGGTTTTCCACACTATGCTTGACATGGACATGAAGCTGCCACTGTGGTTCGTCAGCGCTTACATCGAAGACAGGCACGAGGACGATGAGCAGGCGGCGTATCAGGAAGCGAGCGTCCAGAGACTGGTGGGTGCGTTCACGAGCGCCGTGAGCACGGCGGAGGGAGTCGACGGCGGTCGGGTGTCGCATGAGAGGCTGAAGAGCGTAGCCGAGGCGATGCAGGTAATGCTCGCCGCGACGATGTGGCTTATGCGGATGGGCGGTGGCGATCGTCGTGCCCATTACAACACGTGGGTATTCGTCCAGCTGACGGCGAAACCCACATTAATCGCATCCATGCATCGCTCGTTCGACGCGCGTCGCCACATCGTGCAGGCCGCAACTGCCATCACGGATAAGCTGGCGAAACCCCCGATCACCTTGCTGGCCCCTCCACTGTACATCCCGGACTGGGTGTCAATCGGCGTGAAATTTCTCGCACGACGCCACTTTGTCTTCCCCAATGGAGGCTCAAAAGCTCCATTGGTTGGGCACAGGGCCACCGGAAGACGGCGATGACGCCACTGTGAACGACAATATGAGCGCGGGGGGTTCATGATGCCTTTGGGTGCACAGGGAGTAGTTTGATGAGGTGGGTGCATGTGTGCACCTTCGTGTACAATTAGAACAGGGTGTGCGCCAGGGTTTGCTGCTAGTGCGGACGATGTCGGTGGTCGTTGGGGGTGGACGTTTCTATGTTCGTTGTCACAACCGCAAGCGCATTCGGGCTGGGGGTTTCTTTTGGACTTTTGTTTTCATTAACATGTTCATCCTTCAGTTAGGAGTTTTTTTGTTTTTCTTCGGTTCTGTGCATGCGAGTAATAAGGGTGGCAATGATTTTTTTTTCTTCGCGCCTGCGTCGTCCACTTTGCAGTTGTCATTATCCGTTGGCGTACACATTCATAATGGGATTGTTTGTTGTCGAAGATTGAATGCTTGGAAAAAGTGCTAACCGATGTTTGTCCACACACATCATCACGCATGTTGGAAGCGAACGTGGCATGACAAACAACAGACAACCCCGTCCTGCAATTGTGTGTATGTCGTTGTTGGTGAAGGAGAAAGACAAGCCGCACACCATCCACGCCGCAGACAATAAGGAACATGGCAGATCGCTGTGTGTGAGAACACGAAAAGAGGACAACAATAAGAAACGAAAAATTAAGAATGTCGAAGAAAAACACACACACACACACACACACACACACACACACAAAACAACAAAACAACACGTCCGTGGAGACGGAGCGTGGAAAACGAAACGGGTCATTAATCAATTTCAGTGAAAAGATCAACCAAAACACAACAATAAAACCAATGATCGACACGATAAGCCTGCCACCCTCACACATCGCCATAGCAACAGCGCACTACACAACAACCACTTGTCTGCACGTCGGCGCTTCTCACATCGCCCCTCCTAGCCTACGTCTTCGACTGCGCAAACGCAGTCCACCCCCGGCGTAGCCACACACCCGACTGCGCTCAGATCCTAACACAACGAAATAAATTGTCGACACACGCCGCCGCGTGCCCGGAAAACAAAAGTACGACGCCCACCACCGCCATACTACTCGCGAGATCCGACCGATGGACGACAAACACAACGACGACAACTCGTTGCACGACATGGAGCACCCCGCGTCTTCTCGCCACGATTTCGACCTTCCACCCCGCGGCACACGACCGCGTTTAATCGCCTTAGCCACGCCATCAAGGCCGATCCCTCCGCTCGCCTCAGCGTCTTCACTGTGCTGCCATTCGCTCAGCCAGTGCGTCACGTAGAATGAGGGCATCCCCTGTGGAGGACTCCATGCACATCTGCCTCACGGGACGATCCATCCCAAGATCCACCCTGCGACGAACACCATCCGGCCCGACCTCCCAGAGCAGATTGTCGTCGAACGGGATGCCCGCATCGATGAGGATGTTGTGGAGAATGCAGACGKSSACRAACTGYTGCGGCAACGTCTCCATGTTCGTCTTGTGGGATCRAAGGAACMACCTCCACATCCCCTTCAGTCTGCCAAAAGCCCTCTCCACTGCGCCCCTCGCCGTCTTCTGCTTATTATCGAAGCGCATCTCCACAGGGTTTTGGGATACACCGCCGTAAGGGACGACAACCCATTCGGAGGGCGGGTACCCGTTGTCCCCCAGCAGATATCCGTCCGTACGCACACCGAAAGGCAGCATGACAGGTGGGCCGGTGAAAAGCTCTCCCGCCTCCGCGCGTGCCCATAAACTGGACAGATGGACGATCCTGACGTCGTGGCAGCTTCCCGGGTAACCGACGAACACATCTAGCACGCGCAAGTTCAAATCCACGACGACCTGTGCCTACACAGAGAAACACCGTTTCCTATCGTAGTAGTCCTCCCCGGGGCAATTCGCAAGCTTGTCGATGAAGATGTGGGTGCAGTCGATGCACCTATGGCCTTGTCAGCGAAAGCGCGCAAGACGACCGCCTTCTGCAGACCCGTCGGCCACGAGATCTTGTCAGGGAACGCACTGAGCAACGCCGCAGTCACATCCCGCACCGCCACCAACCCGGAAGATCTGCCAATGCCAAAGCTGCATGTCCCGCTCTCGTATGTCTCCCCCGACGCCCACCTGTACAAAGCGTAGGTGACAATCTGGTCTGGCTGGAGGGGCTCCCTGTAGAAAGTGACACGTCGCTCAAGGAAGGGAGACAGAGCTTCCGTTATCTCTCGGAATACACGTGGCGACATTCGTAGCTTCTCCCTGAAGTAGTCCGCCGTCGCGTCGTCGCATAGCCGGAGATCCTCCCAAGTGCCACCTGTACGTCGCTTCATCCACCATTTGGGCGTCACTCTGGGGAACGCTCCACACCCCATGGCGTAGCACACCTGCAGCACGACGTCGCAAATGGCAGCGTTGTCGTCGCCCCCCACAAACGGCGACTGCAGCGTCTGTTTCCGCCGCGCGTGAATGGCCGCTCTCATCCTCCCCTCGCCCCTCTGCAACTGGCACCGGAAGAGGACGGCACTCACGGCCGCTGCCACCGCAGTCCTCTCCGCCTTCAATAGCGCATGACGCATGTCCATCCCCTCCGACGCCATCGCCGTAAACGTTACCGAGGATCCGCCCGTCGCGAAGTGCAGAAGACCGCAGACCACGATTCAACAGCGAGGATCCGCACGTCCAACCGCGATCGTCACACGTTCCCGAAAGTGCAGAACGACAGTGCTCACCGCAACCGGCGATGGAAATCCACGTTCCCGAAAGCGGGAGGACGAAC